GGAGGAGGAGGAGGAGGAGGAGGAGAGTATTAGGAGGGAGGATTAGGGAAGAGGCTGCCACGACGGCCCGCATAGTGCCCCCTAGGCCCCACAGAAGGATTTCGCGACGCCTCCAAGAGACCGTCGAGAGACCCCCCATGCGACATCCAAGATGCTGGATCAGGTGCACAGGGGGGGCCGTGGAGGAGGAGGAGGCGAGTGATAAGAAGGACAGCGGGAGCAGTGGAAGAGGGGGGCACAGAGGATCAGGGGAATAGGGGGGCCACAAAGGAGCAAAGAGGGAGCAGGGAGAGGGGAAAGGGACAACCATGGAGGGAGCAGAAAATTAAGGGGAGGAGGGGGAGGAGGTGGAAGAGGAGGAGGAGGACGAGGAGGAGGCGGAGCATGACTACAACAACGGCGATGACCGAGAGGGACGAGGTCAGGAGAGGGCTGAGGCGGACAGGGGCTCCGCAAAACCCACATGCGGGGATATTCGCAGTGTCGCCTACTACTCGAGCGAAAACGAGAGCCATGGCCTAGCTGTGACTAGAACCACGCGCGCGCGTAGCGGGCGCGTGCGTGGTTCCAGCTATCCTGCCACCGTGCTTGGGTTGCGGTCGGAATTTTCAGGGATGCTTCTTGGGGTCTCTTCGGAACGCTCTGGGGGCCTCTTGGGGGCAGTTGTGGGGCCTCTTGGGTGCCTCTTGGGATCCTCTTGGTGGCCCCTTGGGGCCTCTTGGGGCCTCTTGGAGCCTTTGGGGGCCTCTTGATAGCCTCTTGGTGGCCCCTTGGAGCCTCTTGGGGCCTCCTGGGGACCCCTCGAGGCCGAGGTTTCGAAATCTTCGTTCGGGTCCCCCATCTGGTCCATTTAAGCCCCTTCTTGGAGCCGTCTTTGGGGCCTCTTGGGCCGTCTTGGGGCGCCTCTTGGGCCGTCTTGGGGCCTTTCTGGCTCGTTTTGGGGCCCTCTTGACGGCCTCTTGGGTCGTCGTGGGGCGATATCGGGGGCCTCTAGGGCCGTCTCGGAGCCGGAAAGGCGAGAACGCCAAAAGCCTTCAATCACCGAAGAGAGATCAATGATTTTGGCCTCTTGGGGAGGCCTCTTGGAGGCATCTTGGGGCGTCTTGAAGGCCTCTTGGGCCGTCTGGGGTCCACTGTGCGCGTCTTGGGGCGATCTGTCCGCGACTCGGGGCCCTCTTGAGCCATCTTGTAGGCATCTTGGGGCCTTCTGGGCCTGTCTCGGCGCCCTCTTGGGCCCGAAAAAGTCAAGGGGGGAGCCGATCCAAGGCCCAAGGGGGCATGCGGGTGAAACCAGGGGAACTGCGACAACGCCCGAAGATTAAGCCATGTGGGTCCAGGACTCAGGACTGAGGCTTAAGGGAAGGGAGCCAAGGACCTGAGGACACGCCCACTCAGTGCCCAGCGGTGCGGTGGTGGATTTGCGGGAGTAACGCGCCGGGTGCCAATGGCCAATGTTGGGCGATGGCATCGCGATGTTGCTCTGCCGATTGAGCGATTTTAGTTGAGAGCAACCTTGTTGTGTATGCCATTCCGATGGTGACACTTGTGGGTTGGCGTACCCTTGCGCTGCTGAAACCTTGGAAGCAGTTGTGCAGAGTGGACAACATGAGCGAATGTCGTTTGCTGCCTGTTCACACCCGTGGCTGCGATTAGCGCCCCAGCAATTTCAATTTGATGACGCTTTACGTGGAGTTTGCGTCGTCGTCTGTGGCAACACCGCTTCTGAGACAGGTTACGCAGTCTTGCACGCTCCAGTGTTGCGAACTAAGATTAAGTGAGCATGGAGGCGCGAGAAGGGGAAGAGGGAGGGAGTGAAAAGGGGAAGGACGGCCGTGCCTCTCTTCTGCCCTCCCTGGTTGCGCAGGTTTCCTGTGGGCCCCCCTCAGCCTCCCCGGGACCCGCGCGGTGGCGGCCCGCGGTGTTGTTTGGGGCGCTTCAGGCACTGACTGGCGTTCCCACGGAGCGAAGCGAAGCGAAGGGTGAATGAGGGAGAGTAAGGCAAGATATCAGTCAGGAGAGGGGGGTGTTGAAGGGGGATGCTGGCCGCCGTGTTTTTTTCAGGGCGCCAGGGGCCCGAACGCCCCGGGGGTACAGTCCGGCGACGGCGTCGAGCGACCGCCGCCGAGGAGACCATCGGCGCCGCCGTGGTGCCGCCCGAGGGGACGTCCAAGATGGAGGCGAGCTTTTTTCTCCTTCCTCTGCCTTCATCCCTCCTCGTCCTACCGCCTCCCTCGTCCTCCCTCTCCCCCTCCTCCTCTTCCTCCTCCTCCCCCCCCTTCCTCCCCCCCTTCTCCCCCTCCTACGCCTTCTTTGTTTGTCCTCCATTTCCTGCTCTTCCTGCTTTGTTTTCTCCTCCGCCTCTCTCCTGCCTCGGGTCCTGCCCCCCCGCCCCCCCTCTCGTCGTCGCCGCTCGGGCGTTCCGTTTTTTCTTCTGCTTTGGCAGCCGCAGTCGTGTGCTCGATTCGGGTGTTGCAGGCAACAGCATGGTTGCCCAAAGTGACCTGACGACATGGGCGGAGTAGCAAAGTCTATCGTGCCCCAGCCCGAGCCAGCGCTCTCCCCAATCGTCGAATATCGGTGCTGAAAGGCCTGAGAACCGAGAGCTGAACTCCTGCTCTGCCCCGCCCTGTGCCCCCTCCCCCCTCCGCTCCCCCCCCGTCCTTTACAGCCTGAAGCATACCCCCACTTCTAAGATTGGCATCGCCTTCTCTTGGTGCCGATCCTGAGGATTCGCCTGCTCTCTCTATTCCAGGGCACTTCCCTGAGACTGTCGTCGCCTTGGGCCAATCTTAGGGATAGGGATGATATCGATGTTGGTTGCTCCCCGCCTGCCGAGATCGCCCCCTCCCTTCCCTTTCTCGCTGTGCAGCAGAGTTTGGCATCGCTCGGACGTGTGCGTTTTTTTTCTCGGCGAGGACCATCGAGGAACATCTTGGATAATCTAGCGTAAATGCGTGCACGAAATCGAAGCATTTATGGGGCATGGACGTCCGGGCGATGGCGAGAAAGGGGTCCTCGGAGAAACGGGCCCTTCGGTTTTTGTCCTTGTCTGGGCCACAGGACCGTCAGAAGACAGCTCAGGATGAAAAGCTGGTCCCGTGGAAGAACCCTCGGATCCAGGACCTGTTTCCTGCAGGACCCGCTTCCTTCACGCCCAACTCTTCTCCGAGATCGCCCCCCCTAGATTCCAAGAAAACAAGAAGGGGAATCATCACGTGGTGTCGCAGGCAGCACCGGAAAAAAGGCGGCACCACGCAGGCCCGGTGCAGTTGCAACAGCTGGAACACGGATCACCGCTGCGTCATGCTCCGCCCTCGCCGAGATCGCCCCCGCCTGCTGCCTCCTCCCTCCCCCCCCAGCGAAAACCAGCTCCTGTTGCACGTGTTACAGTGGAGACCCCTGCCAAGAAACGCCCTGCTTGACTCCAGGGTGCCCTGGGTTTCTTGGGTCTTGATGGTTTTGCTATGGAACACGTGACGGTCCCACACCAAAAGTCAGTGGACGTCCCAGGGTCTCAGCGTTGGGTCTCTTGTGGAAGGTTTCTTGTGGACCGGCCTCCACTGTATCACGTGTGTCCACAGATCGTGTCCGAGAGCGAGGCGTCAAAGCACGCAGTTTCTTTTTTGCCGTGAGCGTCGGAGCGGCCATGGCCGCACATCGGCCCCGTGTTTTTTATTCCATTTTTTTTTTTCTTCTTACTTTTTTCAGCTGCGCGCCTTTGCCATATTTTCCAGGCCCTTCGGCCCGAGGAGGAGGAGGAGGAGGAGGGAGGAGGAGGAGGAGGAGGAGGAGGAGGAGGAGGGGAGGAGGAGGAGGATTTTTTCAGCTGCGCGCCTCTGCCATATTTTCCAGGCCCTTCGGCCCACCGGCCGCACCCACGCGTGGCACGCGGCGGGCCCCGCCGCTCCCCGCAGAGAGTCGGGCTCCCGAGCGGAGGAGGCGTGGACTCCAGAGAGTGCGGCCATCCTCCCTCTCCTCCTCCTCCTCCTCCTCCCTCCTACTCCTTCCTCCTCCTCCTCTCCTTCGTCCTCCCGTCTCCTCCTCCTCTCTCTCCTCTCTCCTCCTCCTCCTCCTCCTCCTCCTCCTCCTCCTCCTCCTCCTCTCTCTTTCTCTTTCTCCCTCTCGCTTGTACCGCTCCCATGGGGGGTGGGCTCTGGTCGCCGAGTCTTGGCCCGAGGTGATCCTCAGGCTGCAGGGCCTGCTCGGGGTGCAGCCGATGATAGTGGAGTGCCCCAACGTCATGACCATCAGCCTGGGGAACCCTGGCCAGGTCGCGTGGGGAGGAGGGGGAGGAGGAGGAGGAGGAGGAGGAGGAGGAGGAGGAGGAGGAGGAGGAGGAAGAGGAGGGGGCTTACTTCTTTTTGTTCTGATCTCTCATGCCCATGCGTTTGGTCCAGCTGCGCTCGCCACGCACACATTCTTGACCACTACGCCGAAGTCGGTCCACAAACTCACATGCTTTTTATTCATATAGCACAAACAAGTTGGAAGATACGCCATTTGTTGCGCTGACTTCCGCGGCCGAATCTCTGTTCAGAATCTGTCAGTGCAGATGCTTCGAGTTCAAAAAAAAAACAAACAAGGAGGGGGAGGAGGACGCCCCGCCCCCCTGAGGTGGGTCCCTGCCTCCTCCCTCGGAGGGTGAGGCCCACGCTCGGGCCACCTCCCAACGAGCACTGCAGGCCGTCAGCCGCCGCCGGCCGCCAGCAGCTCTACCTGGCTCCCTCCCCGCCTGCGCCTCCTTTCCTCTCTTCACTTTTTTTGGTATTATTTTTTTTCCCCATGTCCTGAGATGGGGTTCTCTCTATTTCCCATATCCAAAGGATGGGGTTCCTGTTAGTCCCCATCTCCACAGGATGGGGTTCCTGTTATTACTCCGACAGCGCCACCTCCTTCACACTCACCTCCTCCTCCTCCTCCTCCTCATGCTATTACATGATATATTATGTTATGCTATGGTATGGCATGGTATGCCATGGTATGCTATGCTATGTCATGTTGTGGTGTACTATGGCATGCCATGCTATGTTATGGTCTGGTATGTCTGGTATGTCATGATGTGTCATGACATTGCATATTATGTTATGGTATATTATTGTGGTATGGTATGTCATGCTATGGCATGTTATGGTATGCTCTGCTGTGATGATGATGCTGAGGATTACGATGATTATGACGATGATGACGATTCGGATGATCATGACGATGATGATTCTGGTGATGGTGCTGGTGCTGGTGATGATGATGCTACTGCTGATGATGCTGCTGATGTTGATGATGATGATGCTGATGATCATGATGTTGATGCCGATGATGCCGATGCTGATGTTGATGTTGCTGCTGATGCTGCTGCTGCTGATGATGATGATGATGATGATGGTGCTGATGATGATGATGCTGATAATGATGCTGCTGCTGCTGCTGCTGCTGCTGCTGCTGATGATGATGATGATGATGATGATGATGATGATGATGATGATACTGCTGCTGCTGCTGCTGCTGCTGATGATGATGATGATGATGATGATGATGATGATGATGATGATGATGATGAGGATGATGATGGCGGAGCAAATTTTGAGGATACTTCGAGCCAGGCGCGGGTTTCAGCACCCCCAAGAGGGAGCCGCCAGAGGGTCTATCGCTCCTCCGTTCGCGCCAAACATTCGGGGATGTCTAGAGCGGCTTACCTGTTTTGGTGCCCAGACCCGCTTTCGGAGCAGATTTGGAGGACGTCTCGAGCGAGGCGCTCATTTTCGCCCCCCCAAGGGAGAGCTGCTAGAGGGTATCTCATTCTTCCGTTCGCGCCAAAATGGCGGGAATGTCTCGAGCGGGGTGCTTGTTTTGGTGCCCAACATCCCCCGCTTTCGCAGCAGATTTGGAGGATGTCTCGAGCGAGGGGTGCCAGATTTTGAGGATGTCTCGAGCGGTTTTCATATTATGCTGGTCAGACTTGTGGGCACGGATCCTCTTCATGCTGCACGGATCCTCTTCATGCTGCAACAGGAGGCTCCAGCAGGCTCCAGGAGGCTCCAGGAGGCCACAGGAGGTACCAGAGACATCATGAGGCCACCAGAGGCCACCAGAGGCCCCAAGAGGCTCCAGGAGGCCCCAGGATGCACCAAGAGGGCCCAGGAGGCCCCAAGAGGCCGCAGGAGCAGGAGGCATCAAAGGCTACAGGAGTGGCTCCAATCCAATGTGTTTACGCATGCTCCTGTAGCTTGGGGCTCCCCTGGAGCACGAATCCTGACGGTGTTACGTATGTTTCTATAGCTTGTCTTATTATAGTGCATCCAATCCGACGTGTTTTACGTATGTTCCTATCGATTTGGCCTCCCATCTGCGCACGAGTCCTAGATGTGTTACGTGTGTTTCTATAGATTGCCCTTCTCCTGCGGCTCCACTCCGCAGTGTTGTATGCACGTCTGTTCCTATAGATTGGGCCTCTCCTGTTGCACGAATCCTCCCCATGAGGCTCCAGGGGGCTCCAGGAGGCACCAGGAGGCCCCAGGATGCACCAGGAGGCTCCAGGAGGCCTTAGGATGCCACAGGACGCCCAAAGAAGCCCCAGGATGCCTTAAGAGGCTCCAGGAGGCCCCAGGAAGCCCCAGGAGGCCCCAGGAGGCCCCAGGAGGCCCCAGGAGGCATCAGGCTCATGCGCAGAGACGCACTCGTACTACTGAGACTCATTCACACTCCAACTCATCCACATTTCGATTCACTCCCAGACCGCCACTACTCTAGCCAGTTTGCATTCGAAGACTCTTGCGCCTAGACACTCACGGCGAACAGGTCCAGTGCAATATATGCACATATGGGGAGTTCCACGCAGTGAACAATTAATCTGAATGCGCGGTCCTCCTTCCTCACCTCCTCCCTCTCTTCCCCATCCTACCCAGAGTAGGATGATGCACTCAGAGGATGATGATGTCGAATGATGCCCATATGAGTATTATGCCAACGATGGTGATGCAGATGGTGAATGATGCGGATGAAGAAATAAGGGTGATTAACCTGACGAATGATGATGGTGCTACTGCTGCTGATGATGATGCTGATGGTGATGATGACGACGATGACGATGATGATGATGATGCTGGTGATGCTGGTGATGCTGGTGATGATGGTGGTGATGATGATGATGACGATGCTGATGCTGATGGTGATGGTGATGGTGATGATGATGCTGATTATGCAACTGATGATGCTGATGATGATGCTGCTGATGATGATGATGATGATGGTGGTGATGGTGTTGATGCTGATTATGATGATGTTGTTGATGACGATGCTGATGCTGATGCTGTTGCTGTTGCTGCTGCTGCTGCTGATGATGATGCTGATGATGATGATGATGATGATGATGATGATGATGATGATGATGATGATGATGATGCTGATGATGATGATGATGATGATGATGATGATGATGATGATGATGTCGGCGGAGCAATTTTTGAGGATGTCTCGAGCGAGGCGTGGGTTTCAGCAGCACCCCAAGAGGGAGCCGCCGGGGAGTATCTCACTCTTCCGTTCGCGCCAGAATGGCGAGGATGTCTCGAGCGGTTTGCCTGTTTCGGTTCTCCAGCATCCTTCGCTTTAGGAGCAGATTTGGAGGATATCTCGAGCTATGCGCTCGTTTTCACACCCAAGCGGTGGCAGAATTGGAGGTTGTCTCGATCGGTTTGCTTGTTCTGGTGGCCAGACTCGTGGGCACGCATCCTCCCCATGATGTCATAGGAGGCTCCAACAGGCTCCAGGAGGCCGCAGGAGGCAACAGGAGGTACCAGGAGGCACCAGGAGGCCACAGGAATATTCAAGAGGCCACTGGATACCCCGAGAGGCTCCAGTTGGCCCCAGGAAGCTCCAGAAGGCCTCAGGAGGCTCCAGGATGCCTCAGGAGGCCACAGGGAGCCACAGGAGGCCCCAGGAGGCCACAGGAACTGCTAGGAGGCACCAGGAGACCACAGGAGTGGCTCCAATCCCATGTGTTGTACGTATGCTCCTATAGATTGGGCCTCCCCTGGAGCACGAATCCTCAATGTTTCACGTGTGTTTATATAGCTTGTCTTAGTTTTGCGTATCCAATCCTCAGTGGTTTATGTATCTTCCTATATATATATATATATATAGATTGGGCATCCCTTGGGGCACGAGCCCTTGGTGTTTTACATGTGTTCCCACATATTGCCCTTCTCCCCGTCTTGGGCGGTCTTGGGCTCTCTCGGAGCGCTCTTGGCCCGTCTTGGGGGAGAACCTTAAAAACATGCAAAAACCCAAAGGAAAACCCGAACATGGCCATTAACGCCAATCTCCCCACGCTTCGCCCCTCCCCTGGAACCCCTCCCTCTAGGGCTTCGCCCCAACAAAACGTCATCGCTCGTACCTCGCTCTTTCCGTTATCCCTGGATCATTTTCATTCTTCGTTGTTTCCTCCCCCTTTTTCTCTCCTTTTCCGCCTTCAGCTGAGCTTCCTGTTCCTCCTGCTCCTGCTCCTGCTGATGCTGCTGATCCTCTTCCTCCTCTTCCTCCTCTTCTTCCGTCTCCTCCTCAGTCCTCCTGCTCTTTTTGTTCCTCCTGCTCATTGTCCTGGTCATTCCACTTTGCCTTTTCCCCTCCTTCTTCTCCGCCTCATCCTCCTCCTTCTCCTTCTCCTCCTTCTCATCCAGTGTATACGAAGTTCCCCCTCTCTGATTGCGCATCACATGATGGTGACATTTAGCGATCAAAGTCCTCGAGGGCGCACCACGGAAACCAATAGACATCCGACCAATGGCAATGACGTGTGGGAGGGGCAGCGTGTCAGGCGCCAGCGCACCCGATTTGCTGCTATCCGCTCCCCCCCCTTAGTTCCTTTCTTCCCCCCCTCCTCCCCCCCTCGCTCCTCCCCTTCCCCCCCCCCCTTTCCCCTTCCCCCCCCTCCACCCCCCCTCTTTCCTTTCCCTCCCCCCCTCCTCTCCCCCCTTGCCTTTGCAATTACACACTATGAATACTACTCTCCTCTCTCTCCCCTGATGCCGTCCGGAAGATATCAGGCCCCCGTTCCGCGTATTGTTTTTCCACAGGATTCCCGGGTAACGGGTTTTCGCTTTGTTGTTTTTCAAATTGTTGTTCCCGCTGAAGCGCTGGCCTCGTTTTCGGGTTTCCGCTCGTTCCGAATAGCGCTCCCGTTTTAGCGTTGGCCTCATTTCTGCGCTTCCGCTTTTTCTGAACCGTGCTCCCGCTGCAGGTGATTACGCATTCGCTGTCGATTCGTTGATTTTCTGGTCTGCAGAAGTCCCCCCCACTTTGCGGCGTCGTCGTGTCCAGGAAGTATCAAGCGGGATCCTCGTTTCGGTTTTGAAAAGGCAGAGCAGGCGGGCTCTCTCCATGAATTCCGCCTTGTGTGGAGCTTTTCGGGGAGCCCAAGGAGCTAGACATGGAGCCACGATTCCAGACCGGCCCAGACCGGCCCGTACCTCTCGAAAACAATCCAGTTACCCTCCAAAGAACCTGGGGCCATGCCGTGACATGCTGTGCGATGTTGTGTTCTGCGGTGCTGTGCGATGCCATGCTTCGCGTTGCAGCACTTTGTGATGCAATGCTTCACTGCGCAATGCCACACCATGCTGTGGCATGATACGCCTTGCCGTGCTGGTCTACGCCGTGCCATGTCGTGCTCTACCATGCATGCATCGCGTATCCGCTCGCGATCATTGTCATGCTCGACATCTGATTGTGCGAATAGAGAGGATATCTACGCCGTGGTAAGGGATAGGGGGGAGGGGTAGGAGGTCAGATATGACGCGAGTGCACCTAGCTTGCCCTCCCCCCTCCGCTCTCTCCCCTCCCTCCCGCGGCCATCAACGGGTCGGGGCGTTGCCCAGCTGCTAGTGCGCAGGTCATCCACCCCGGCGTGACCTACGGAAAGTGCGCCCCGCCCCCCGTCGCGCGCGCCTGCTGTTGCTGAACGCCCGCCTGCCAGAGCAGGAGAGGAAGGAAAACCGCTCTCCAGACGGGAACATGGTGATGATAATGCTGATGATGATGATGATGATGATGATGATGATGATGATGATGATGATGATGATGATGATGATGATGATGAGGAGGAGGAGGAGGAGGAGGAGGAGGAGGAGGAGGAGGAGGAGGAGGAGGAGGAGGACCAGAGGAAATCCAAGATGCACCAACGACGCTGCAATACACCCTCACGGCCCAAGCTCCCTCCCAACAAGTCCCTGCAAGCCATCCTTGCCACTTCAAAAGCGCCCACTTGAACAAACAGCACCCTCTTGGGTGCTCGCTCAGGCGATAACCGAACAGGAACTAACGGCCTCGCATTTTTCCACGGAGTAATAAGGAACGCGCGAAGGTATGAACGCTCAATTCAGCGGAGAGTCCAGCGAT